CCGATGCTCCCACGCGGCCCCGACGGGCAGGGCGAGCGCGGAGAAGCAGCGGCGGCTCATGGTGCTGCAGCACCTCCCGATCCCGCCGAGCCGGGGCCGCTCGGCCCTTTATAGCGCTGCCTGGTCGTCATTTCCCGGAAAGCCCCGGGCGGCTTCGGCGAAGGGCTCCTCGGCGGGGCTGCAGCGGGGCTGGACGGGCGTGAGAAAGGGATACAGGGATGGGGGTGAAAGGGCACAGCACAGCAATGCACAGCACAGCACAGCGATAGGGGTGGAGATAGGGGTGGGGCAGGGAGGGGGACGAGGGTGATGATGTTCATGGAGACGGGGACAGGGCTGGGGATGCAGGCAGGGCTGAATGGAGCTGCCCGCCGACATGGTCCAGCCTGGGGGTACCTGGCTTAGGTCCCAGTGTGTCCTGGCTCAGGGCAGTTCCTGGGCTCCACCCCTGCTCTGAAGGAGCCCCTGCAGCCCCCAAACCACCCTTTGGCCACCACGGGACGAGGGTGATGATGTTCATGGAGACGGGGACAGGGCTGGGGATGCAGGCAGGGCTGAATGGAGCTGCCCGCCGACATGGTCCAGCCTGGGGGTACCTGGCTTAGGTCCCAGTGTGTCCTGGCTCAGGGCAGTTCCTGGGCTCCACCCCTGCTCTGAAGGAGCCCCTGCAGCCCCCAAACCACCCTTTGGCCACCACGGGGGTGGGCAGGAGCAGGGCAGGGATTTGTGAGGGCAGGGCAAGGGTGTGTGTGTGGGGATGGCTGGTGATCTGCAGTGGCTCCAGGCATTTGGCAAACCAGGAAGAAAAGCTGCCCCAACAGCAATAGGAAAACCCCAGGGCATTGCCAGCCAGAGGTGGGCAGCCCTGGTTGCAGGTAGCAGGAGAGAGCAAAAAGCCAGTGAACATCAGAGCAGGAACAGAACACAGTGGGATGTGCTGCAGAGGGGCAGGGCAGCTGCTGAAGGATCAAGGACAGGGTGGTGTGGGAAACGAGGGCAGGGTGGGGGATGGACTTGGACCTGTGCTATTTAACATCTTTGGACAGTGGAACTGAGTGCACCCTCAGCCAGTTTGCTGACAACACCAAAGTGTGTGGTGAGGCTGACATGCTGGTAGGGACACCATCCAGAGGGACCTCGACAGGCTGGAGGGGTGGGCTTGTGCAAACTGCATGAAGTTCAACAAGGCCAAGTGTAAGGTCCTGCACCTGTGCTGGGGCAATTCCCAGCACAAATACAGGCTGGGTGGAAAATGGGTCAGTAACAACCCCGAGGAGGACTTGGGGGTGATGGTTGATGAGAAGCTCAACTTGAACCAGCAATGTGTGCTTGCAGCCCAGAAAGCCAACTCTGTCCTGGGCTGCATCAAAAGAAGCGTGGCCAGCTGGTCGAGGGAGGGGATTCTGCCCCTTTACTTTGCTCTCATGAGCCCCCACCTGGAGTACTGTGTCCAGTTCAGGAGCTCCCAAGATAAAAAGGACATGGAGCTCCTGAAGCGAGTCTAGAGAAGGGCCATGAAGAAGATGATCAGAGGACAGGAGCACCTCTCTGATGAGGAGAGGCGGGAAGAGCTGGGGCTGTTCAACCCGGTGAAGAGAAGGCTCACAGGCCTTACCCTCATTCACCTCCCCTTTCTCCATGAATCGGGATCAAACAACGCCCTAGGAATTGTATCAAACTGTGACAAAATCCCATTCCAGCCTACTTCTCCACAAAAGACCTTCTAGAGTTCGTCATCATACTCACTCCACTAATAACCCTAGCCCTATTCTCCCCCAACCTATTAGGAGACCCTGAAAAGTTCACCCCAGCCAACCCCCTTTTAAACGAGAATGGTACTTCCTGTTCGCACACGCCATTCTATGCTCAATCCCCAACAAACCTGGAGGAGTACAAGCTCTTGCTGTCTCCGTACTAATCGTATTCCTAAGCCCACTCCTTCCCAAGTCTCAACAACGCACAATAACATTCGGACCCCTACCACAAATTCTATTCTGAACCCCAGTAGCCAACCTATTTATCCTAACCTAAGGAGGAAGCCAACCAGTAGAACACCCATTCACCATCATCGGCCAACTAGCCACCCTCACCTACTTCACCATCCTCCTAGTCCTCTTCCCCCTTATCAGAGCTCTAGAGAACAAGATACTCAACTACTAAAATACTCGAATAGTTTATAAAAACATTGCTCTTGTAAACCAAAGAATGAAGATTATACCCCTTCTTAGAGTTTCCCCAAACCAAGCATCAGAAGAAAAGGGCTTAAATCTCTGTCTCCAACTTCCTCTCCATCAACAGTCACCGCCCGCAACTTCCATCCCTCAACAAAACCTTGTGGATGAATTTCTGTACAGCAATGGACATGGAAAAATACTGGAGCTGTTCGTGCAGGGAACAGAAGAGCTGTACGAGCAAGAAACAGGAGAAAAGGACACTTTAGTAACAAGTTAAGGGAACTTTGTAACATCAAAGGACACCAAAATACAAAGAAGGAACTGAAGATGCCACAAAGACCATATTCAGCAAGATGCAGGTGTAGCAGAAGAAGTATCCAAATAGTAACTTACTACAGCGCCTAAAGTATCAAAGTAATAGCTCGTCATAACGCGTGAGCAATTAGTAATTACTAACCAAGTGGGAGAGCAGGGCTCACCTGGTGGATTTCCAGGCATCCCTGCGGGATGGAACCTCTTCCTGCAGGAGCTAGGTGGTCTCCAGGGTCTCCTTCCCACAGCAGTCCATGAAGCACTGTCCCACAAAGGTGGTGGTGGAGTTCAAGTGGGGCAGAGGGGGCTCAGAGCTTGCTATTCCAGACAGGGAACCTGGGCCACCCAGTCCTGGCAGACAGACAGACAAGACACCCACACACACATGGCCAGGACAGACAGATGGACCTCCCTGCCACATTGCCCATACAGGTGGCTTCCACATCACCTGCACAGCTAGATAGGCACTACCTCTGCTGCTTCCCTTGGACAGATAGATGGACACCTCTCCCAGAGAGACAGGCACCCCTGCCTCCCTCCCCAGGCAGAAAGCCCTCCCCCTGCCACATCCCATGGCAGAAGTGTCTGTGGATGGTCCGTGGCCACAACCAAGGGTCCTCCAGGTGCCACAGGAGACCTGGGAGGCTAGGTAGGGAGCACTCCACTCCCAGAAGGGGCAGGGGATCACTGGCTCCCCGGGGATACCATGCTGGGAGCTGCTGTACCTGCAAACTACCACTGCACAGTGAAGCCAAAGGTGGGCTGCCTCTTGGTGCCAGGGTGCTGCTGGGGCCCTGGCAGGGGTGGCACCAGGATCTACTTGGTGGTGGCTGCCACAGTGGTGTGGTAGGAGCCCAAGAACATCCCAGC